TTTTTACAGATACAAATTTTATTTTTACAGATACAAATCTATTTTACACAGACACATTCCTATTTACAAATCCAAAAGTTACAAATCTTAATCTACAAATACAAAGTCAGATTTACAAGTACAAATTAGATTAGACTAAAATCTGAGCCCATAGAAGACAGGKTTTTTTTAGCTTGGCAGCTTGTCTCTGCATTCTTAAAGGTCTTAAAGGTACTTTATTTGTCATTCAGTGCACCAAAAACAGGAATTTGTGTTACCTATAACAACTTTCTTCAGAATCTGACCCCACCTACTAAGTTTGACATCACTGAGGGGGAACAATATCCTTTTTCCGGGGTCAAATCCTCTTGGCATAATTCCTGTTTCAGCTATTGTTTCTTTTACATTCAGTAACTATGTGTTGATATGTGTTCAGGCATGTAGCTACTTATATACTTCCTACTCTGGGTGAACATATCGTCCAGCCATCCAGACCAGTCTGTACATAAAATCACCAGTTTAATCACAAAAATATTCACACAATGGTTTATAAAACTGTATCATGTTTCATCTAAGAAAAGACCATAAAATGTGTAGTGCTTTTTAAAGGTCAGTAGTAAACAACCCCAATAAATTTCTTCAGTAACATTTCTAGAACCCAGTAATGTCAATGTCAGCATATATGTTTGAACACACTCTAGGGTTTAGGAGCTATTAGTCAGAAATGTATCTTTTCCAATAACCCAGTAAATGGGTTAAAGCTCAGATTTCCCAGCTTTTCACTTGCCTTCAATGCACCACTGCACATGTTGAAGTCAAATTCGCAGTCGAGCAGATCCGAGCACTCAAACCTTGYTACGTGCACTCACTTTATGCGACGAGACTCTCTCCATGGATCTTGATTTAAAACTCTGGCATAAAAAGTGGCGGGTGGTATACGCATTCTTTAAAGGAATGCTAAGTCTTTAATTATTAACACACTTTCCAGAGCTTTTGTGAGAAAAGCAAAAGTAGGAAAAGACAACAAAGGCAAAGCCTCAATTCATCAGTGTTTTTTTAATTAGTTCAGATCAAAACTGTAACTAGCAGAGCGAGAAACGCTTTTTTCTTCAGATGCTGCACACCCATGTGGATTCACATGACCCTGTGTCTGTTTTACCATGGCCTGTTTCTAACTCATTATGCCATGTTTTGGCAGATGTTTTTGCTGTTTTGCTTTTAGCATTCTCATTAGGCTTTTATTATCAACCTGCCGGTGCACAGTGCAACCTAAACCATCAATAATTAAAGGATTAAACTTTTTAAAGCTGGTTTAGAACAGAGCCTGTGTTCTGCTCCAGTCTGACACCTCGACAGAATTAAAAAAAGGAGGARGACAGATGGAGACAAAATTACCATCGTGTCCCATGATATCCTTCTGAAGCTATTTCTGTGCACGCTGTCAGATTCATGAAGCGCTCGCTGGTTTTCTTACCTGTGGCCGAGGATGGCCCGTCACCAGACAGGTGAGCTCCAGGGTCTCTCCTTCTCTGATGGTATAGACTCTTTCTGTGTGCCTCTCCTCTTCAACATTACAGGCATGTCCGGAGTGTATAATGCGGACAGTCGGGGGTGCTGTGTAAAGAAAAAGAAAAAGGTGCAAAGCTGCATTAGCAATCCAGTCATTTCTGAGAGAATGAGTTGAGCAGTAGATGTGTATGCATTAAAGTTTTTCCTTGCTTCAAACAAGGCAGCTCTAACACTTTGTGCAAACAGTCACAGTGCACCCAGAAGAGAACCCAAATAATAAGAAGTTTGTGAACAAAATGGGAAAAAAAATGACGTATATTTAACATTTTATACAATTCCTGGGTATAATTTTTTAAGTGTTACTGCATCAAATAACGTGAACAATATAACTTTAGGCATAGGTCTGGGCGATATGACATATTGTAGTATACCATAGTATTGAAATGTGGTGAGTGACAGCATTTAAAAAAGATGGACAGTATGTTAGTTAAGTGAGGTGAGGTGTCAAATTTCCACACGGCTGCTATAAAAAACTGGGACACGAACATTCGGAACTCTTTCAGAAGACGCCCCATTTTTTTTCTTAAGTCAAACCACAATGGCTGGAATTCTCTTGCAATTTTATTTTATGTAATTTTTTATTTTTATTTTATTTAATTATATTTTTTTGCAGGGGGGGGGAATCTGTAAGCTCCTTGCTGCAGGAGGAAGAAATAAAAACAAATTTCATCAACACAGAGGATTTGCCTTTTTTATACATTGGCCCTAAGAATAATAATAAAAAAAACACAATGTGTTTTTGCATTGTAGGGCCCGCCTCGGCCCACCCCGGTTCCAGACATTGTGGCCTTCCTCTTTCCCGACCAATGCATTGCATGTAGAAAGCCGCTTCGATGTGGGCAGGCTCATAATATTAAACACATGCAATCTTATTTTGTATTGTTTGTGACAAAACTATTATGGCGTATTACAGAGAATGGTAAGCTAAGGTTAGCTTTTTGTTAGCTTGTAGTTGTTGGTAGCTCGCTACTGTCGTGTAATTAAACACCTGTGAAAAAAAATTACAGTCACTGCAAAATCATTCACATAAAGGTACTCTCATCTATGTACTATAACCCTACTGGTCAGTGAACCAAGCAATGAGCAGCAGTAGCACTCAAGAAATCGGGGTCAACCTGGGTCAGAAGGGCTAATGCAAAAATGCCAAACCCAGATTTGAACCCCAGCCCGGCCAGGCATCATCACTTTATTTCCCGTTTATTTATTTTTTTCTTATTTCCCTTCTTTACAACACAGAGTAATGCTAATACTAGTAAAGTGATCATTCCTTATGCTTGCCCCCTTTCATGCCAAAGTTTAAATTAAGATAATGTTCCATTAAAAAATTGAGGTTTAGCTGTTTTGGTCAAAAACGGAAAACAATATTGTGCATGACATCATGACATTCAATATCGCAAGATGCTCTAAGCATGTGTTGTGAATGACACTGCTACAGCATCAAATTTTACCTAAATACATCAGGAAAATCAGTTGAGTTGCAGCCGCTTCTGCATTTACAGCTGCTTAACTGTGACAGCCTTTGTGAATGGGTTTGACTTCAAAAGGTTAATTAGTTGTAGTGTGTACATGCATTTATGTAAAAGRTTATGTTCACCTGTGCATTAAGGTAATGAAAAAAGAAATGTGAAAAAATCCTGCTTGAGGAGGTAAAAAAGCATGAATAATTTCCATTTATCCTTAAAGGAGACATATCATGCTAAATGCAAATTTTTTGCATTTATAAACTATTTTTTGTGCAATTATAGTGGCTAGGAGTGTAGAAAACTTTAATTTATTCTGTCCAGTTACTGGAAAGATATTTTTAGGTCAAATTTTTCAGTTTGTTCAAAATCTGCTGTTGCTTATTACRTTTCATTGCTTATTTCGTCACACTATTTTCTTCGGAACTACCATTTATGTTAATGTATTTCTGGCCAACTGGATTTCRTAGTCCGCCATTTTTTTCCTCGCTGTGTGATTTTGTAGTTCATAGCGTCATGCCTAATATGCAAGTTCAGAAGTCAAAATGTTCGGTTCTGGGGTGTGTAAACCCACATTATTATCTACATAGACTACCAGCTTCAGAGCTTCTTCAAAGTGCCTGGTTAAGTTTCATTTTTCAAGGGAATGGACCCATAACAGGGCGGAAAGTGCTTGCGGACAACACAAGATGAATGTTACAACAACAAGGGTGAGTTATGAACTGTAAATGTGTTTTAACTGTCTAATTTAGCTGTTTCTACCSTCTGTGTCAGAATATGAGGGGAGAAAGAACAGCTGTGTTTAAGTTTCTTTACCAAACGGGTGCTCAGCACCATGTTTTGCTTTCACTTTCACCCCGCACTGTAATCAGTGTGTCCGTGTTGTTTTTCTTTTTAAAAATGCTGGAGCATTTCAAACTGTGATCTAAAGTTAACGTCAGCTGTTTTAAATGCATTTTTTGCCTGGTGTTAAAAACGGGAGCAGCAGAATGAGGCAGAGAAGCTGTGAGCGGTGTGTGTGTGTGAAGTCCTCATAAGGATAGCAAGATGGATGTGTGTCTCTCCTTTTTTTCTCTGTGTTGTTGTTTTTGCATCTAAAAAGCTGGGAACATAGCCATTTTATGTAACAAAATATATTAATCTTATTAATATACAAATAAAAACAGAATATTTAGCACTAGATAAAATAAGTAATGATTTTTAAAGAAAGGGCTGAAAGAAGAAATCCTGTGTGGCAGCATTTATACACCTCTTCAGACAAGGCTTAGTTAATAAATGTTTTTTTTTGTTGTTTGTTTTGTTTTAAATTAAGACTTGTGTAACATTTGTTATCATTCTTATTTTTATCATGTTAATGGAGGGAGGAAGGAAAAGTAGTATCGGCTTCAAGAATCGGCCAAAAAATATCGGCTGCAGTGTTGTTTTAGTCACTCTATATTCGTTTTTTTTTTCTTATTCAAAATACTGTGTGTTAGATGAGTTTTAATGCTGCATTTTCAAACTAACATGTAATATTCTTTTATGCTATTTTAACCAGACTGTACCTGGCTGCAATGCATTTCAATGAAAATGCACGTCTGCAGGCAACTACCTCATCTGGAGAGCCCATGTAGATTATTCTTTCCCAAGTTCAAGAAGGGAGAAGCCTATCAGAACTCCTGAAACCCTAAGTAAGTCTTACCACATTAGTCACTTTTAGTATGCCAACCTGATTTCAATAAATCAAAATCATCCATACTTTAATTGTATCTCCCTTATTCAAAGTCGTGTCACAAGGGCATGTAATGTGTGAAAGTGTTGAATGAGAAACTTTTCCTCACAATGTTAAACAAAAATTACAAAAATAAGTGACACTTTACTGTTTCTACTATGTAAAGACTGTGTACATTTTAATGTTGTTGATGTTTTCCAGACTGCGCTGTGGATTCATCTCCAGTTGTCCCAGACAAGGCCAGCATCTCCACACCACCTCCTGATGCATGCGTCTTCACTACACGTCCTGATGCCACATCTTCACATCACCCTCTGCACCACATCTGAACTCAGTCCACACCCAGTGGGAGGACCCTTCACAACAGGATCACACATACTTCCACACATCTCGCAGAAAGGACCGCACCAAAACAGCTTTCTCTGAGGCGCAACTCAGAACGGGGTAAAGCAAGGAAARCAAGGAGTCTGTGGAGCAACAAAAATGAGGAAGACCAAAGYGTTGCAGTTTTATTTTAAATAGACCATAAGTGAATGATTTAGACATGAAAAAGAAGGATTTAAAAGCATGATATGATACCTTTAAGAAGTGCTTTTTGATGAAACATCTAGCCAAACAGAAAGGTAGGCTAATACATGTTGAACATAAGCTCCCCATAAAAAAAATCTGAAACCCTTGAATGCTTTCATTTTTCTATGCATTCCTGCCCAAGTTTGTTGATAATAAAACAGACCTGGCAACACAGCTACTGAGTCCCTGTGTTCAATGAATTGTTATTTATTTACTCCATGAGGTTGTTGAGAACAATGTGAAAATTTGGCACAACAGTAAGTGAGGTACATTTCTTTTTTTCTAGCTCAAAAATTCAGCTAGGAATGCTTTACCTTGGTTTTATTTYGTGTACAAACACATTCACTAAAGTTTTGTCTTGAATGATTAGTTGTGAGTTTCCTTGAAAGCCACTCTTCAAAAAATAAAAAAATAAATTATTGGCCCGAGGCAGCAATGTTTATTTTTATTCATGATTATTTGTAGGAAAATATTGARGCTCTGATGTTAGAAAAAAATAGTCCTGTATTGTATCTAATGTTTATTAATTGTCCATCTGTTTAGATGGTGGGAAAATCTAAAAAAAAAAAAAAAGAAAGAAAAATTACACATAGTTGGGGACAGTAAACTGCCCCTTGATCCTCTTCTTTGTGGTTCAGGGGAAAACTGGATTTATACTAGACTTTGTGCTTTTAAAAGGCTGTCAAACTTTTATTAGGATGCTTTAGTCTTGTCTTACGGAATCACTGCCTCCTTTTCCATTTGTTCTGAGATTTAAGTCACTGTCCTTTAAAAACAAGATTTAACCGGAGGGAATTGTAAAAGTAAGCAGTACCAGTGCTGTCATGAACCTCAGTAGGTTCCCTGATGTTCATGAAGTTCAAAAAGAAAGTTTCAGTCAGTCCTGACTGACCTGCACCACAAAATATGTTGCCTTTCATTAAAGCAGTTTAGTGAAACCAAAAAGCAGGTAAAAGAAAATATTTTCCCCTGCAGCCATTGTTTTGCTTTTTTTCCCCAGTAAAAATGTAATTTTTAGTGTCATATATTTACTGCCTGTACCCAAAGACTAAAATATGATATTGTTTTGACTGGGTATGTGTGTATGTGTTTGTTCATTTGTGTGTCATGTTGGCAAAACATATCACGAATAGATGGGCAGATTTGAATGGCATTCTCTAAAAGTAAATCAGTACAGGGTCAACCTCTTCCAAGATGGCTGTCACATTAAATGTATCAGGGGTGCCCAAACTTTTCCCCCAGAGAGAAAAAAAATAAAAATCAAGGGCTGAGGGTCAAATGCAAAAATATGACATGAAATACTT